ATGATCTACTTCATCAACTAAAGTTTTGCCACATTGCGCCCCTAAAAGTTTTTTCGTATAATCGATTTGATAATGAAAGAGGCCTAAATCGAGATGATGCATTCTATCAGGCACTATGTCTTGATAGATATTTATATTACTTAATATAAATTAATAAAAATAAACTTATGTTAGTGTAATGCTTGTAATGCTTACGTGATTTGGCGAAATGGCTGGATGCCTAATAAATATTATGTAAACTTACGGCAGATTCCAAAAAAAATTAGATATATTTTCAATGCAAACGGAATTTCCCGAGTTTTAATTAAAATACTGCTGCATATTAACATGAGTTCGTGGTGTTATATCATCAATTTGTAAATTAAGATCAGCAAGATTGTCTCTTGTGACTAGACAAAAATAACAAGGACGTTTCGACATTGGTGATTTGTATGTAAGACAGTACGTTGCAGCTTCCGGCCAGTCAGATATCATAGCTGAAACTCTAGGATAAAACCAAATTATTTCGTTATTTAAAAATAGATCAATGCCATTTTTATTTAATTTTAATAAAGGGTCTAGTAACAATTCCAAAGATTTATGGAAGCATTCGCGAACAGCAATCTTAAATGTTTCAGACTTCCTTTCAGTAATATTATTAGATTTTAAGATCAGCAGATACGCTAATAATTACTTTGCATCTTTCTTATTACGCTTTCAATTTTTAATATTACCAATAGACAAGTAAATGGGATGGAGTTGACTTTTTCCTAGTGTGTCAACATTTGTAGCGTCAGAATATAATATTAAAGATAAAAGCCTGGCACCAGGTGGCAGGGATTTTTCCGCATTTTCCCACCATATCCCAGTATTTTGTTCGCTAAACTCCCTTTCACCGTTATGCTTTAAGTTTATATGAAGATTAGTAAATATCCTATAATATTAAGTTGTATATTTCATATGAAAGTATAAAATAATTACCTCAACTTTCTCAAAAGTTAACGCAAAATTTTGTGATATGTCTGAAATTGACAAAATATTTTTTATACAGTTTATTAAAGACTGATGATAAAGAAAATACTCATTATTATTATAATTCATTATACTAGTTTTAGTATAATTTAAATTTGGTAGTTTCATATTATCCATATATTTGCTGCCTTGTTCGATAGATCTTGGAAGAGGTGATTTATCTAAATTTGCATGTTTATTAAAGAATTTAATTATAGCATTTCTTGTCGCATTGTTAAGTTTATGTTTCGTAACTAATGCCATTAAATTACCATATGCTTCACTTGGGTAATTAACATTAATTTCTGGTTTGGATTCTTCTTCATTCAATTCTGAATCAGAATCTTCCAAGATATTTTCAAAGACATTTTCATTTTCATCGTGGTCTATTTCTTCTATATTTTGATCAATTTCACCAACCTCTGAAATTGACATCATACTTTGAAAACTCTGATTATTTATTTCCGAGTCTGTACTTTTATTATCAGAAAGATCTTCGCATGAATCTTCACGGACCATCTATAAAATTAATTATTTTAAAAAAGAAATTCAAAAAATTTTATAATTTCCTATTTTCTTTACCTTGATATCATGATTATTAGTTTTATGTTCAAATTCTTCTAATTCTTCACTATCGCTACTATCGTTATTAAGCGGAGTACAAAAATTCTTATATTGAGTGTATGCAGACCTTGTGCTAAAGTACCTTGGACAAAAAGGGCATTTATATGACATTTTTAAGAGTATTTTATTTACTTGAATTTAAACTTTACAAATTAATTAAAAAATTATTTGCTCATTTATGTCAATTTATAAATGTTTGCATAATGGTGTAGTTAGCCTAAAAATAATTAGCCACAACATGATCTTGCTCAGGTTTAGATCATTGTGAAAAGTTTACCTCTTTTTAAATTTTTCTACGAAAAGTGGCGTATTTCGATAATCATAAAGTGAGTTTCTGGTGAAGCTATATTTCAAATTTGAAACAAGCCTCGCCTAATATAAGCCAAAATCTCTAAAATCCTATTTTTGAAACTCTATACAGTCAAACCTTGATATAGTGAACCCTTGATATAGTGAATTTTTCAGACAACTATAATAAATTTCCCCTCGCTATAACGAATTAACCAATCAAATCTCTTAAAATCTTCACTATAACCTTATAGCGAAGTTGAAGTCTGGACCCTAGGGTTCGTTATAACAAGGGTTGACTGTAGATCAGATCATGTTAATGGAAACATAAGCCAGTTAATCAGATCTACAAAAATTGGTTTTCCTCTGATCGATTTTAATTTTATAATAAATATAATAAACATAAGCTATTATGGATATATAACCAACCCGATCAATCAAAAATTGTGCTCAATTGTAACTGTGATCTGGTTGGTTATACATTTTTTCGGTCAATAGTTGTGCATCAAAAGACTACAAGCATTTTTCTATATATTTATCAATTAATAAGCTTAGAAAAATTTCGTTATAATCATGCACAGCTTATTATTTTATAAAATCTGAATATTTATTGCGAGATATTTCGGATCTAGAAATATAGTAGGGCT